CTGTATACACATAGATGGAATACAAGCCCTGGTCACACTATGTGCAGTTTCTCAACGTAGGTACTGTAACTGCAATGACAAACAGAAAACAATAGTTTTCTTTGTGTCATGTTCACTCCAGAATGCGGTTTCTCTCTGTTCCATAGCTGTGTGATTTCATGCAACATGTTTGCATAATTTTGCCCTGCAACACATGTAAACGCACACAAGCACTGTAATGCACCTCTTACTCACAATTAGGGCCTGTTCACACATAAATGTACTTTAAAATGCTTGATAAATGGATGTGCATTGCCTTCCATTGGCAATGATTTTTATGTGCGTCGATGCACGGTTTAACACGTGTTGATGTATGTTGACACTCATTTTTATGTGTTAAATTGCTGTGGTTCCTTGTAAGAGACAAAAATAATACTTTTTCCTTTCAATAGATGTGTTGTGTTTAAAATGCATACATGTAGCATTTTTATGCAACGTACTGCATATGACACCAGTGTTGTGACCAGCATACACAGAAAACAACTGTTGTCTATTTGTCCTTGCGATGACCTGCCTTCTTCTAGTGCAGTAAAACGCAGGTCATGCGTGAACAAGGTCTAAGGTCAGAGAAAACATACTGTTCCAAGAAAAAAGAAATCATGCAGGAAAACGCACATAAAATATGTGGAAATGCAATTGACTGCAGGCAGATTTGTTAAAGCAGGGTTCCACTCAATGTCAAAAAATAAAAGTCAGCAGCTACAAAAACTGTGGCTGCTGACTTTTAAAAAACAGCCACTTAACTGTCCCTCGCAGCCCGTTTCACTGGCCGTCCTGTATTCCAGGAGGCCAGAATCTTCAGTGTGGGCACCCGGCTGTGACAACTTGCGGCTTCACAGCCAGGTACCCACTGCGCATGCGCGAGTAGCGCTTCATGAATGGTCCTGTAGTCTTCTGGGACCTGTCACGTGTCCCAAAAGACTACAGTGAGGGAGGGAGGACACCTTCCATTTCTGATCGCCTAGGCGATCAGACCGGAAGTGAAAGCAGGTACCTGTAAAATTTGGGTACTCGCTCCCAAAGGTGCCAATCCTTAATGGGGAGCAGTGAACGCGGAACTTCCCCTTTTTGGTGGAGCTCCTCTTTAAATGTGTTGCAGCATGAATGAGCGCTTGGTCTCCTTTCCATTCCAGAAATGTGTAAAAAACGCACACTGTGCTAGTAGCGCCATTGTGAACAGCACCCTAAACACGGTAAAAAAAAACGCATGGCAAAAACAAATTGTAGTGCAAGAAAACGCTCCCAGAGCACTTTGCTGCATGTAGTGCAGCCTATTGAAATGGCAGGAAACCACTCATCTCCAATAAGGTAAAATGTGAATGGGTCCTTGTAACTTTAGACGAAATTTCAAGTTTTCTATTTCCTGGCATATTTATAAGCAAACCAGCCTTCCTGTACAGACTCCTTCCTTCTTACGTTCCCCTGACAACCGGCATTTTAACGCGCATGCGCATTCAGCATATTCAGGCCGAAAGCTTTGATTCTGCCGCAACGCTGCTCAAATAGTCCCTTCCTAGCGGAAAATATTTCTATAGGCGGGGTTATTATAACCCCCGGCCAATCAGCTGTAGTCGTCATATAGCGTATTGCTCTGCGTCACGTCCGCCGCGGAGGGATCGGCTTTATAGGGATTGAACTGCGGTTTCCGGTCCTCTTTGCAGCCTTCGAATCCAAGATGGTGAGGACGCGAGGTGGCGGTTGTGGAGGCCGTTTTGTGTGTTTGCTGTGTGAATGGGAGCGGTGCTGGTCCTGATAACGGTTCCGGCCTGGTAGTGGCTCTTCCCGCTGCTGGGCTGTAAAGACGCCCAAGCTGGTCCCGTGTGTAGGGAGACCTCGTGTGGCGCAGTCAGCACAGGGGCCGCGGTCAGCGTGCTTATTACAGCGCCCTATGCAGGAGCGTTACTACTCCCTGGAGGACCCGGCTCACACTGTCGTTGGGGGGCGCTGTGTGTTGGCGGGTGAAGGCTGCCCCAGGAGGCCAGAGTGGAAGAGTTTGGGGACCCCCGCCCATATAATCATACTGAACATTGTAGGGAGTGGGTGAAATGGAACGAAAGATTATTTTTTGTTAATGGAGAGGGATTAGAGCCTGTCAGTTTATTACTGTGTCTCCATTAGGGAGATGTAAAAAAAATAAGGGGGATATATTTGGCACTAGTTTTGGGGGGCCCCATGGGATTCCTCTTATTTTGCAGGGATTTCCTAACTTCCTGTTTGGCTATGGGACAGGAAGTGAAGGTAAATCTCCCCATTGGGGGACACGGCTAAAAAAACACTGCAGCGAACTGAGCCGGAAGTTTGGCCCCCTCCTTTCTCCTGGGAACCGTCACAGGTCCCAGAAGACTGCAGGACCCATCAGGAGGCGCAGCGCAACTCTCACATGCGCAGTGGACACCCGGGCGTGAAGCCGCAAGCTGTCACAGCCTGGTGCCCACAGTTGAGATGTTGGCGCCATGGAGAGAAAAAAAGGGACGGCATGGGTGAGCACATCGCTGGACCCTGGGACAACTAAAGCTCAGTTCACACTAGGCAGGCGTTTGAGGGGCGTTTTTAATGCTCCTCAAACGACTATGAAAATTATACACATGGCAGCACACAGTGCTGTTCACAGAGAAGCGTTAGCGCTGCAGCAAAATTGACACCTCATGTCAAGTCAGGAGTTGAAAACTTTCAACACCTCCCATTCAAGTCTATGGTGACGCTTCTCAAACACTTAACGGGGCGTTAATATCATTTCAATATAGGCATTTGTGGTGTGGTACACGGGATGGCCAGAGACTGCGGGCACAGTACACGGGATGGCCAGAGACTGCGGGCACAGTACACGGGATGGCCAGAGACTGCGGGCACAGTACACGGGATGGCCAGAGACTGCGGGCACAGTACACGGGATGGCCAGAGACTGCGGGCACAGTACACGGGATGGCCAGAGACTGCGGGCACAGTACACGGGATGGCCAGAGACTGCGGGCACAGTTCCCTTTTAATTTTTTCTGAACAGGTGAACTAACACTTTAGCTTGGGTTCACATTGATGTGGAATTCGCCCCAGTTTCTGTGCCTATTCTGCATCACAATCATACCCCGTTCATGCAAACTGCTTTGGCTGTGTAAGGTACCCCTAAATCTGTTTGTAAAATACGGTGCGATGGCAGAATCGGATCACGTGGGTGTGAATACCTATACAATATGATTCTAGTGCGGACCAAAAAGGGTCCTGCACCTATTTGGTGTGGATGCAGTGTCATTTGAGCCATACAATGTATGGCTAACACCGCACTGCACAGAATGTGCATGTGATTTGCACAGGAGTGCTGTTTGTGTGCAAATCACATGTGATATGCCACATTGCAGAAGTGTGAACCCAGGCTTAAGGTACTTAACACTGCTTACAATAAAGAATTGTAATGATTACAGAGCTGTATTTCTATATACCTGGAGTTCAGTTTAATCCATGAGTAAAGGTTGATTTTTAGAACCCTTTAAATTGTCCAACTGCTTTATAGCCTGGTTTCCATCTAACTGGTGAAAACTAAATGCATGTAAAACACAAGAGAATATAACCGATTTATTATTGTTACTTGACCAGATACAGATCTAAAGCCAGCCATAGATGGTTCAAGTGGATTGGCTGAGATTCAAACCATCTACGGACAGCCTGAATGTACCTGATTCAATTGTACGAATGGAGCCTGTCAGATTTTTTTTGTATGCAATTACTTTCAGCAGCTATAGTCACTAGCAATAATCGCTGTGTTCTGCCAGCAGGGTTGCCTGCCTCCCTCCCAAACACTGGCTCCACAGGAGGGATTCACCCATCAATGTTGATCGGGGACTCAGGCAATTTTCTTTCCCAAAACCTGTGGTTGCAGGAAAGAAAATTGCAAAATCTATGGCTGCTATAATGTTTTGCTGATGTTTAGAGTGGGTTATAGGCTCAAGACAAATATGCCTTGCACATCTTCAGGTTTCTATGATCTTGCACAGGAAGATGTGAATGGAAGTGTTTGATATGAGCCTGTTGTACCTCAGTGTGAGTCTTGTAACATCACTTGTGACTGGAATGGTTTGATTGCAATAATTGTGTTTAAAGAAATCCTAATTTGTCTGCAGAGGAAATAGTGATATGAAGGTTGTCCTACTTCAAAACCTTGGTGCTCTGTCAAACTTGTGGTACCTATCTGCTGCATGCTGTAAAGCTAGGAAATTCTCAGATTTCTGTGAAATCCGTTACTTAAAACACTGTAAAGCAGAAGACAGGTCAGATGCCTGTAGAGCCAGGTTCATAAAGCAGGGCATCTCTGAATAGATACCAGAATGAACTTGTTACATTCACGTCTGCAGATGAAAACTTCCTGGGATCCCTGTTCACTTGTGGTCATGAAGCAAAATACCCCTTTTGGTAAACTGCCAGTTTCAGTAAAGCTGATTAAGTGTAGACTCTTTACATGACTTTAAATATAACCTGGTGGTCTGAAAATTCTGACATTTAAAACTGGTTTGTTTTCTTCTTTTAAAGTGAACCTGTCACCACTTGGTTGCTTGTATGCAGTTGAACCATGTTAGAGGAAAAATACCTAACCTTTCCAGTGGCCTGTGTCAAAATATGGAGTCTTTCTCCCTTGTTGCTGCAGATATTCAGCCTTTCTGGGGGGAGATGGGTACTAGCTCCCCATGCTGTGGTTCCTCCTTCTGGCTGGTATGTCTTTTTATACACCCAAAGGATTGAAAAGCTGCAATTACTGGGGGAAAGCTAATGGGCAGGATTTCAACACAGGCTGCTGGAAAGTCAAGTATGTTTTCTGTTCTTATATAGGTCCCAGTTGTGTATGTGACCCTATAGTGATATAAGGATTTCTTAATGTGACCCCAAATAATTTAGAATTCCACATTTTTTTATTTTAACTCTTTTTCAGACCAAGAAAAGAAGGAACAACGGACGTGCCAAGAAGGGACGTGGGCATGTCCAGCCTATTCGGTGCACCAACTGTGCCCGCTGTGTCCCCAAGGACAAAGCTATCAAGAAGTTTGTGATCAGAAACATTGTGGAGGCTGCAGCTGTCAGGGATATCTCTGATGCTAGTGTATTCGATTGTAAGTTTGTGGGTTTTTTTAATTAGCTTTAAAGTATTCTCTTGTCCCATTTGGTTTAACCAGTTTGTAAAAATGCGACCATGTAATAAAATCTTTCATTGTCTTGTCTTTTAGCATATGCACTGCCCAAGCTTTACGTGAAACTGCACTACTGTGTTAGCTGCGCCATTCACAGCAAGGTGGTCAGAAACCGCTCTCGTGAGGCACGTAAGGATCGCACGCCACCACCAAGGTTCCGGCCTGCGGTAGGTTCCTACAATTTGCTAGAGATTTCCAATGACTAGGATTTAGGTTCTTATGTGAAGTAACCCCATCTTTTTTTTTTTTCCTTAAACTCAATGAAAGTGAAGTTGCTCTTGCAGTGGGGTCCCTGTGGGAGCCTGCAAGGGTTAAGTGCTCATTATACCCAGGGGTTAGTGTGCAAGCAGCTTTTTGCCTTTTCCTCCTGCTCCATCCAAAATGTATGTGAGTGGATGAAGTTTGTAGTGTTCTAAAACAAGACCAAATCTGTTTAATTTTGTCTTGCTGGAAAACGAAAAGGATAAAGTGTTTAAGAGAAGATGGGTGAACACTCAGAAACAGTGCTTAGTATGGCAGGCATATAAGGATGCAGATAAGTTTTTCATATATCAATACTGCTAGGTTTCCTTCAGTTAATTTTTACCACAGCCATTTCTAATGGCTTCCTCTTCCCTTTTTAGTGGAAGCACTTTTTGGTGGCTGGAAAATAACCTGCTGTCCCAAAAAACTGTTTCATTTTGGTGTGATGGAAATAGTGTAACTATTAAACTTCACTTGACACTAGAACATTTGTCAATATTAGCAAATCGGGTGTCTGAACATAAAGGTACATCTTGCCTGCCATAAATGGTAAAATGCTGCCTTTTACTCAAAGGCTGGGCAAAATTCAGCCTCGTGAGAAAATGGCAATACGGAAGAGCGAGCATGAAAATGTGTAGGCCCTATTAAGGATCACTTTAGTACATCAAAATAGGATGTTCGGTTTGCACTCTGTAGAATAGTTGCCCTCTCCTTGATTTGGAAGCTACTGCCTTCATTTTGTCTGCTGTTCACTCTAATTGACACCGATGAATGTTAAATGACTGATTGCTTAAATTGCCCAAACATTTCCACTACTAGAAACTTTTGTTGAATGGTAATTGCATTTTTTTTTTTTTTCCTTCTCCAGGGCGCACCTCCAAGAGCACCTCCCAAACCATTGTAAGGAAATCTGCTCAGATGTCTTGTCTAATAAACTGTTAAAATTACCTGCTTTTTGTTTGTCGTCTTTTGATAAGAATGGATTACAGCTTAAAAGTTAAGATTCTCGGTCCTTTATCATACTGTTTCCCCATCTGCTTTTGTATTACCATGGGTGCCCAGTTCCCCTGAAGATATCCCCTCTACAGTACAGACATGTCCAGAGCTGAAGAGAATTTCTTAGCACAGGAGATATTGATGTGGGTGGTGACCCTGGAAATATGCAGTTCACAGGGCACACTACATCGCTGGTGTAATGTGCAGTTTGAAAAATTTTCCACGCTGCACTGGAATACACTGTGTGTCAAAGCAGTGCAACACTGAGCTTCTGTGTAGTATGTGACATCTCGGTTGAAAAATTGCATGATGTGGTGCATACATAGCATTGCTGGAGCAGATCCTGCACAGTAGAACACTGCTTTTTACCATGTAAGCTGGTGTAAGTAGCCTAATTTGCTAGCACAGTACTTGCCCTCTTCCCCGCTAAACTCCTGGCAGATATCTATTAGTTGGGTATTAGAAGATAATTTAACAACTATTTAAACTTGCCTCCCAATATCTCATACCTATCCTGCATTGCCTGTGTAAAGATATGTTCTTGCCTTTTTTATGTGGTCACATGCTCCAGCTCTCCTGTGTAGATGAAGAGCTGCTGGACTTGAGAAAAGGGAGCACTGACAATGGAGGGAAAATGGGACCCTACTGATGTCATGGTTTTGGGAAGTTACTGCCATTGTCAAGTGCTCCCACACGGGAGCAAAAGCTATAGGATCGCTGGACTGCATTAAAAAGAGAAATGCACAGATCTATCCATTATGCATGCCCTATATAAATAGGGACTGTTTTAAGCATACTTAAGTTATCCTTTACCACTGTAAAGCTTTCAGTGTTTAATGCAACTAACTCCTGAATCAATAGATTCTTGTAATATACATAGCTGGTTTCTGAAAAATAGAGGGTAATTTCCCCTGCAGTGTTCACCTTTTTGCATGGTGGGTGTGTGTGGTGGTTTTTTTTTTTTTTTCTTTTTACATAACAAGAATTTAAGTACATAAGCAGGGGAATGCCACCTAGACAGGAGTCGACTTAAGTACATTCAAGTCGCATAGTAAGGCAATTGTCACAACAATACTAAATTGTATCAATTAAGTCGAGAACCTCAGATGTATGATAAACTGTCATACCTGTACAAAATGAGATAGACATCCCTTCTGCATGTACAGAAAAAATAGAAACAGAAGAGGATGAAGAAAGTAAAGAACTATAGCTAGAGATACAAGGGTAGGGGAAGGTACTTAAATCCACCAAATGTGTCAGGGACACATAATCACTAGAACAAGTGAAAAGTTACTTTTCTATTTTTTTTTTTAAAGTCCGCAAACGTGCGAATAACGAAAACCCGTAAGTGAATCACAAAAAAAGTGCACTTAGGGGTGTGCTTTGTCCTTCCCTCGAAGGGGATGGACCTCTACCCTGATCCCCCGTGGCACGAAGCTCCTGACGGGCAAGGTTCCCATTTGGGCCACCTAGCCAAAAGGCCTGGCGGACCACCGTTCCTTGTGGCCAGCCACACAGTACTTGGCCAGGGGGTTCTCCCGGAGAGAAAACCCCCTAGGGACGGGAGAAAGGAACCAAAAGGCCACACATCCTCCCCCTAGACTTCAGGGCAGGCCCGATGACCCCCACACCCTCCATCCTGTGAGGAAATAAAACACACATAAGAGTGAAAGTGACAAAACGTGGCAGATAAATAAAAAAGTGGTCATGCCAAATGTGCACAGACCAGGCCCTGAGGCCTGTAGCAAAAATTGCCCCGAACTTAGCCAGAAGGCCTGGTCCCAAGGGCGCTGTGCAGAAAGTGTTTCAACACAGTGACCATGTGCCTTTTCATGCTTTGGGGTCCCACACCCTAGTGCTACTAAGAGCACCCCTGAGGCGACCACTCAGGGGGCATTGGTTTGCGGACTTTGCCTTCCCAGCCCCTGGCCAGACCGAGGTAGATCTGCTCAAATCAGGAGGTACTGGGCCCCTCTGGCGTTCCAAAGGGGAATTACTCCCGGGCCCCAACTCTATGGGCACCACGGTTTCTGTTCCCCCCGTATTAACCATCAGGACCCCCATCATACTAGCAGGGGTACTATACAACCAGTCATCCCCGCAAAGCTAGAATGACTGTGGAGCACCCCTGCTGGACACTGATAGAACAGATACTACACTTGATCTTAGCCAAAAGGTGAAAAGTGACCAATGGACCCACCTATGGCAGAATTTGTCTTCCTGGCCATGAACTTCAGCCATGATACTTTCCATTGAGTGGCTTTAGTCAATCCTATTCAGCCACATGGAGAGAGGGGAGTTCTTGTATCACTTCCTTGAGAGGTCTGAGTGTAGTAGTAAATCCTTGGCTGGGTCTTCCTCTAGGTCAGGGGTAGGCAACCTGCGGCTCCCTAGCTGTTGTGCAACTACATTTCCCATGAGGCATTGCAACATTACAAAACTGACAGTTACAGCTATGACTTGCACAGGCATGATGGAACTTGTAGTCCTGCAACAGCTGGAGAGCCGCAGGTTGCCTACCCCTGCTCTAGGTTAAATTCTGTCAAGCGTTTGATAGTCTTAACTTGTGACCAAAAATTGGCTAATTTTCTACAGGACCAAACAGTATGAAGGAAAGAACCGTTGCCTTATAACACCAGCAGACTGTAGTCTCTGGGTAGATCTGATGTAAAATGACCGGGACCCTATACCCTTGGGTGAGCAGTTTGTAACCCAATTCCTGATATTTGTTTGAAGAGCGGTGAGCAAAATATAGAATATGATCTCTGTTCAGTTGAGAATTCCCTACCCAGCTCTTCTTCCCACCTAAGTAGATACAGTGGTACAAAAGAGTGGGTAGGTTGGTTGAACAATTTTGTAGACCACTGAGGTTGCATGAGAGGTGGGGTCAGGGGTAATGGAGATCCTTGGACGTATTGGGTCCCTGATCTTTCCCGCGGTGGGACAAGTTGGTCAAAGATTTAGTGAGTTGCTGTAGTCTCCAGTCATCTAAGGGTGGCAAAAACAGTCTATATATCCAACGGGGACTTCACTGTCTGGTCAGCCATGAAATCCTGAAGACAGTGTCCCAAGAGAGGAGACTGGAATCTCCCATCTGAGATCCCCAGTGGAAAAATAGGATTGCCTAGCACTGGATACAATCACGAGATCATAGAAGGTGCAAGCTGACCATTATTGCAACATGTCACTACCCCTATAGTAGCTCCTATCAAAGGGTGGGTTTTGATGACTGGGAGCCTGGTGGGATCTAGCCACAGTAGACATTGAAAAGGAACATCCTTGAAACACTGTTCAATCTACACCCATTGTTTGACTCCTGTCCCCTACACCAGGAGAGGATCCTGGTAAGATGTACTGCAGAGTAATAATAACGAAGCTGATCTGGAAAGGCCAATTTCTCCCCCCCCCCCCCCCCCCCCCCATATTATGGGATATGCGTGGATGAAATTTTGAACTGAGTGTGGAAAAATGTTGGGGAAGGCAAATTGGGAGAGCTTGTAGATGATAGCGGACTCTTGGGGGTAATATCTTAAGAGCAGAACAGTGACCATACAATGTCAGCATCAGGGAATGCCAATGAAGGAGGTCATCCTTTAAGTTTAAGAAGAAGCTGTTCAAAGTTT